GAAAGTTGCACGGAGGTAGCTCTGCAAACAATTGGGCTGTCAACTTACCACCATTACACGACTTGCTCAACGTCATCAGCAAACCGGGGTTGCTGCTGATCGTCCTCATACCGGACGGTCACGAATGGCAACTCCTGCGCAAAATTGATTCATCCGGGTCACTTATCTCAGGAACTGAACTCAAGCAGCAACAGTAGCAGCAACCTTAGTTCATGGGTCAAGGGGAGCAGTGTCCAGCGATACGATTAAGCATCGTCTTCGGGCTGCTGAAATCCACTGCCGACAGCCATATGTGGGACCAATTTGGACACGTCAACAACGCCAGCGACGTTTACAGCCCTCACACAGCAAGAGTGTCGATGGATTATCTGACTCAGACCAACATTAATGTTCTTCTATGGCCGTCTCTTTTCCCGGATATGGCTCCCATTGAAAATTCTGGGACGAAATTAGACGGAGGATTGCTGCAGGTAGACATCCACTCATGCTGCACAGTTGGAACAGAGATTGGTGTTTGAGTGGAAACACTTGCCTCGGGCATTCTTTCAGACGCTTGTGAATACAGTGAGACGATGTTGCACGGCCCGTGTGCAAGCACAAGGTGGCTATACGTGCTACTAAAGAGACTGTCACTTTTCACATTCAGGGGTATCTCCATTTGACGGACTGTGATCAATTTAAACTTATTGCGATTCAGTGTCAACAGCAACTTTCAGCTGTTAATTTGACAGTGATTTCTATAGAATAAATTATTAGACATAATTTTGGTTGTCTTCTATTAAACAACTTGACAAAAAGCCAGAAATGCGTTTCTTTTGCAGTTCAGTATATTTTATATTTTACGTCCCAATGACAAGGACTTCTACACACATCTCCGATGACGCTGTAAGTCCTGAACAACACGTACGCCATGTGACATAGTACGACCTGAACAATACACACGCCCTGTGACGTAACAACGTCCTGATAACATCAAACATCAAATGATATTTGCCTCGACCCAAAGATCGATCTTACGGGACTGCCCCATTAACACACATCCCTTGTGACTTGTTGAGGTATTAAACGCTAAAAGTAAATACCCGACCTCGTCTGAATTACAGTCCCTTAACCAAATATTTCCTCTTACGTCAAGCCCTGGGTCCAATACCGTGGTTCTCTTTGAAGCTAATCTAGGTTGTAAATCTTGGGGCTCCTTACCAAATTAAATGTATGTACTTGTTTCTGTCAAAATGATATATTTTCAGGGACCATTTAGATTAGGGACAAGTGTTGTAGTCAAGTACCTGTCATTGAAGCTCTCTTTGCCGATATTCAAGTATTGCTTATTTTGATTTTTAAGGTGAATGCTTCATTATCCCGAATAAAATTTGGGATAGGGTGTCCGTTGTTTTTCTGTGTTTCCCATCACCGTGGCTGAGTGTTGATCAGGACGTATTACGTCACGGGAGATGAATTGATCAGGACGTATTACGTCAAGGGAGATGAGTTGATCAGGACGTATTACGTCAAGGGAGATGAGTTGATCAGGACGTATTACGTCAAGGGAGATGAGTTGATCAGGACGTATTACGTCAAGGGAGATGAGTTGATCAGGACGTATTACGTCAAGGGAGATGAGTTGATCAGGACGTATTACGTCAAGGGAGATGAGTTGATCAGGACGTATTACGTCAAGGGAGATGAGTTGATCAGGACGTATAACGTCAAGGGAGATGAGTTGATCAGGACGTACTACTTCACGGGGAATGTGTGTTGATCAGGACGTACTATGTCACGGGGATGGGACGTACTATGTCACGAGATGAGTTGATCAGGACGTACTACGTCACGGGGATGATCGTCAGGATCAGGTCACGGGGATGTATGTTGATCAGGACGAACTCCGTCACGGGGATGTGTTGATCAGGACGTACTATGTCACGGGGATGTGTGTTGATCAGGACGTACTATGTCACGGGGATGTGTGTTGATCAGGACGTACTACTTCACGATGTTGATCAGGACGTGTCCGTACGTCAAGGGAGATGTGTTTGATCAGGACGTACTCCGTCACGGGGAGTCATCAGGACGTATTACGTCAAGGGAGATGAGTTGATCAGGACGAACTACGTCAAGAGGGATGTGTTGATCAGGACGTACTCCGTCACGAGGGATGTGTTGATCAGGACGTATTATGTCACGGGGATGTGTGTTGATCAGGACGTACTACGTCACGGGGATAATGTGTTGATCAGGACGTACTGTCACGGGGAGATGGTTGATCAGGACGTACTACGTCACGGGATGTGTGGTCGTCAGGACGTACTCCGTCATAGGGGATGGGTGTTGATCAGGACGTACTCCGTCACGAGGGATGTGTGTTGATCAGGACGTACTCCGTCACGGGGTATGTGTGTTGATCAGGACGTACTCCATCACGGGGGATGTGTGTTGATCATGACGTACTCCGTCAAGGGGGATGTGTGTTGATCAGGACGTACTCCGTCAAGGGGAATGTATGTTGATCAGGACGTACTCCGATCCGTCACGGGACATGTGTGGTCGTCATTACGTACTCCGTCACGGGGAAGTGTGTTGATCAGGACGTACTATATCACGGCGGATGTATGTTGATCAGGACGTACTCCGTCACGGGGGATGGATGTTGATCAGGACGTATACTCCGTCACCGGGGATGTGTGGTCGTCAGGACGTACTCCGTCACGGGGAAGTGTGTTGATCAGGACGTACTATATCACGGCGGATGTATGTTGATCAGGACGTACTCCGTCACGGGGGATGTGTGTTGATCAGGACGTACTCCGTCAAGTGGGATGTGTGTTGATCAGGACGTACTCCGTCACGAGGGATGTGTGTTGATCAGGGCGTACTCCGTCATGACGGATGTGTGTTTATCAGGACGTACTATGTCACGGGGATGTGTGTTCATCAGGACGTACTATGTCACGGGGGATGTATGTTGATCGGGACGTACTCCGTCAGGGGGGATGTGTGGTCGTCAGGACGTCCTATGTCACTGGGGATGTATGTTGAACAGGACGTACTACGTCACGAGGAATGTATGTTGATCAGGACGTACTCCGTCGCGGGGGATGTGTGTTGATCAGGACGTACTCCGTCACGGAACATGTGTGGTCGTCATTACGTACTCCGTCACGGGGAAGTGTGTTGATCAGGACGTACTACGTCACGGGGGATGGATGTTGATCAGGACGTATACTCCGTCACCGGGGATGTGTGGTCGTCAGGACGTACTCCGTCACGGGGAAGTGTGTTGATCAGGACGTACTATATCACGGGGGATGTATGTTGATCAGGACGTACTCCGTCGCGGGGATGTGTGGTCGTCAGGACGTACTATGTCACGGGGGATGTGTGGTCGTCAGGACGTTCTATATCACGGGGTTGTGTTTGATCAGGACGTATTACGTCAAGGGAGATGAGTTGATCAGGACGTATTACGTCAAGGGAGATGAGTTGATCAGGACGTATTACGTCACGGGGGATGTGTGGTCGTCAGGACGTATTGCGTCAAGGGGGATGTGTGTTGATCAGGACGTACTATGTCACGGGGGATGTATGTTGATCAGGACGTACTCCGTCACGGGGATGTGTGGTCGTCAGGACGTACTATGTCACGGGGATGTGTGTTGATCAGGAAGTACTATGTCACGGGGATGTGTGTTGATCAGGACGTACTCCGTCACGAGGAATGTGCGTTGATCAGGACGTACTCCGTCACGGGGATGTGTGTTGATCAGGACGTACTCCGTCACGGGGGATATGTGGTCGTCAGGACGTATTACGTCATGGGGGATGTGTGTTGATCAGGACGTACTATGTCACGGGGGATGTATGTTGATCAGGACGTACTCCGTCACGGGGATGTGTTGTCGTCAGGACGTACTATGTCACGGGGGATGTGTGTTGATCAGGACGTACTATGTCACGGGGATGTGTGTTGATCGGGACGTACTCCGTCACGAGGAATGTGCGTTGATCAGGACGTACTCCGTCACGGGGATGTGTGTTGATCAGGACGTACTCCGTCACGGGGATGTGTGTTGATCAGGACGTACTATGTCACGGGGGATGAGTGGTCGTCAGGACGTACTCCGTCACGAGGAATGTGTGTTGATCAGGACATACTCCGTCACGGGGGATGTGTGTTGATCAGGACGTACTATGTCACGGGGGTGTGGTCGTCAGGTCGTTCTATGTCACGGGGGATGTGTGTTGATCAGGACGTACTCCGTCACGGGGGATGTGTTGTCGTCAGGACGTACTATGTCACGGGGGTGTATGTTGATCAGGACGTACTACGTCACAGGGGATGTATGTTGATCAGGACGTACTATGTCACGGGGGATGTGTGGTCGTCAGGACGTACTATGTCACGGGGTATGTGTGGTCGTCAGGACGTACTACGTCACGGGGATGTGTTGTTGTCAGGACGTACTACGTCACGAGGATGTGTGGTCGTCAGTACGTAATACCTCACGGGGAATGTATGCACATGTTGATCTGGACGTATTTCATTAAAGGGTTATATATTGTTTACTATTATGTCATAGAGATATATGTTGATTTACGCATAACGTCAGATCATGAGTCTTGATGAGGCGTGTTCATCAGCACTGAATAAGAAAATGAGGAATAGAGGATGTTGTTTGTTTTACTGGACCAGACAGTCCAGTGATTGATATTATGAGAGACGTTAGGACCTTTAAGTGGTTAGGATGACACGCAATCAACACCCACTTGGCTAGACCACCCGAGTCTCGGCTGTCGCCTAGAGTGACCAACAGACACTGATGCTAGGGCTGGGACGGGTCCAAATATTTCTACCCAGGTACCCCACCCCATATTACCCTACCCTACTCGATACCCGTTATGTTAATTCCTGACGTCAAATTTGTAAGAAAGGGCAATATATTCTTCAGCTCAGACGCTAAAATTTCGAGTTTTTCAATATCTTATCCAGGTATTATTTTCAAATTAGGTGACGGTCAATTATGTATAAATCTTCAAAGACAATACAACTTTTTGATCATGAAAGAATAACATATTACATTGTTTAATCTATTAGTCACATGATCATAACGGGTCCGGGTATTGAGACGGGTACCCGGGTCCAAATCATTACCCACCCGTCGCCCGGGTATCCGGGTTATCCGTCCCAGCCCAAACTGCTGCAGGTGGAGATCTAACCAAACCACCCAATGACAAGTCGGGACAGAGAAACCGGGATCTTCTACTTATTTCGAAATGCATGAAGACTGCATATGTCAGAAGCTACAATCACGTCTCTCTTTGATGCATGCAAAACTCGAGATAATCTCTCAGTCAAATCCACTGCACGTGGTATGAGGTTTACAGTTAAACGTTTACAGTGAAACCAGTTGTTAATCTCACCCGACCTACATAAGTTAGGGTACCCTGAATGCGAAACAGGAACTTCAAATGTCTACCTCTTATCTATATGCGAGTTGCAGCCCGCATTGGGGGGACTTAGAAATGACAGAGCTGGGGTGTAGCTGGCAGAAGCTCAAGGGGCGCCTGCTGGAGTGGAAACACCTATGTTCGAGCTGGAGTCTTCTTCATCATGCTCCTGTGGTCCATCTCCATTCTATGTCTAGTGTGCGACACGTGGTTTGGACAAGCATTTGAAGACCATGTGCCATGTAACCTCACACAGAAAGAGAAGGACGGCGTCATGTGCGACTGCCGCTCCTGTGACAGTAAATGGAGGGACGACCAAATAGAAACAGACGCGTGTTGTAATTGCAGGTCCAATCTCATCTTGGAATTACGTCCGCTTCTGCTGGAGTATATGTCGCTAGGTGTCGCTGTCGTTGTAGGTAACAAGGTGAAGAACTCTTTTCTGCAACATAATAATGGCGGATTGGTGTTCATACCAAGCAATGTTTGTGCATATCCTAATATGCGAAGATTAGATCTTTCAGGAAACATGATCGTAGATATCCAAGGCATTTCCTGCTTGGGCAAACTTGACGAGCTGAAATTGGAAAGGAATCTCATTTCAAGTTTAAACCGGCACACATTTGAGGGTTTGACCAGCCTAAGGATTCTCGACCTGTCCCAAAATAATATTCATACCATGGAGGTCGGAACTATAGGAACTCACCTTCCCAGATTGAAGAGTATAGATCTGTCGGACAACGAACTGGAAACTTTTGACATTTCCAATTTGAATATTTACTCTTTTTGTGAAATGAATGTGAACAATAACAACCTGAGGGAATTTGTCAACAACGTTAAATTAAAAACGGAGGTTTTTGAGCATCGGGGACCAGGGATGGTGGACTTGCAATACAACAACTTCACAAAGTTCCCTGACTGGGAACAGCTCGGCCTTGGCAACATCTCTAGTCTGGGTCTCCTGTCAGACTGGGGGTTCGACATCAGGGACAATCACTGGAACTGTGACTGTTTGTTGTACTCTTTTGTGAGGTTAGCTCAGAAACACTACAAGGCGATCGACGGCCGAGATTACTTCGGCGTCAGATGCGAAAATCCCCCTGAATATCGAGGGGATATTATTATTAACATGGAACCCGATAAATTGGTCTGTAACCTTACTGAGTTCTGTCCCAGTGTCTGTACGTGTACAGGCCAGCCATCTGTTTTGAATATTTTCGTAGACTGTGTCAACGCTGGTCTCACCGAACTTCCGTTTGATCTTCCCGACATCAGTGGCCTCTCGCTGGTTCTTGACCTCTCAGGTAACTCAATATCTGTTCTGGACAACAGACCCTACCTGCCCCGTGTGAAGAGTCTTGACCTTCCAATAATGTCATAACCACAATAACTGCACAGGCTGTCCAACAGTTGATAAATGCAACAAACATTAATTTGGAAAGAAACAAAATAAGGACTTTACCCAAGGAAATTCAACTCTTCCCTCAGTCGGTGATCAAAATACAGCTTGATGACGTCATCTGCAAGTGCGACCTCGGTTGGATGATTGACTGGAAGAATATCAAGAAAATCAACGGAACCAATTCTACATGCGTTTTAGAGGACACAGAAACGTATATTTCTCTTCGAGCGTATTTGGACATTTGCGCACCAGATGACCCAGCTCCTGTCATCATTGGTGCAGTACTTGGAACACTGGCTGTCATTGTAATCGTTTCCACAATTTTATCACATGTGTTTCGCTTTGAAATTCTGGTTTTGGTTCATTACTACGTCAGTCCAAAATGGCGGAAATGGCGTCCGAGAATACAGCCCGCGAAAGAAAACGATATCTATATCTCGGTGAGTGATGATGTGATTGTGTGGGTCAAAGATAATCTGCTACCCAGCCTCGAAAACGATGGGGTCACTGTGTTTGTGCCAGAGCGAGATACTGATCCCGGCGATGTGGAACTTGACGCTATATTGAAAGGCATTTCAAACAGCAAAAATGCATTCGTAGTTATCTCCCCTGATTATTTGAAATCTCAATCCAAGATGGAGGAATTTAACCTCCTGTGTCAGTCTTTAGTGAAAGGCTTTTCTGGAGTTTTGTGCCTGTTGATAACAGAAAATGTTGGCAAGACCAAGAATCCTTATTTAAGTGCCTTCATACGAGTGAAATTATACCACAGTGGTATCGATGAAGCTACTGTGTCCAAATCTTTGCACAAAATTAGACCTACTGGTAATAGGAGGCCCTAGCATCACCACACTGACACTAGGGCTGGGACGGGTAGCCCGGATACCCGGGACGGGTGGGTAATGAGTTGGACCCGGCTACCCGTCTCAATACCCGGACCCGTTATGATTATGTGACTAATAGATTAAACAATGTAATATGTTATTCTTTCATGAGTAAAAGGTTGTATTCTCTTTGAAGATTTAGACATATAATTCTATTCTGTTTTTAACATAATACCTGGATAAGATATTGAATAAACTCGAAATTATAGCCTCCGAGCTGAAGAATACATGTATATTGCCATTTCTTACAAATTTGATGTCAGGAATTAACATAACGGGTATCAGGGTAGGGTTGGGTAATAGGGGGTGGGGTACCGGGTAGAAAATTTGGACCCGTCCCAGCCCTAACTGACACGACTATAAACGTCGAAGGTCGAGGATAGTATGTGACGGGAGTACACATTTAAGCCATGAAAGAGTAATATAGTAACTGTTGATATGACAGAGTAGATCAAATGATTGTGCTTGTGTTAATTATGCTTCAGGTTCTTGATGTTTCATTGTCGTATTTCATTGTCTACCTCACATGAGTAGTTTCTGTTTATATGTTACCTTGTTCCCAAGGACTTAGATAGGAAAGGGTTAAGAACCACTCACCTTTATTTCTAAGTATCACGAACGCCCTTGTGTTTACGTATGAAGTATTGGTACCTCACCAAGATACCGTGAGGTGCCGGGTTCCTGCTTAACGTGAGCTGCGACTAACGAGATTGGGTGGTCAGGTTCGCTTATTTGGTTGACACATGTCATCGTATCCCAAATAGGCATATCTATTCTTCTGATGAACTACACTAATGCGTTTTGTTTTAACATATTTAACTGCATTAAAAAAAACATCCGTGTAAATTGAAAAAGAAAAGGAGTGAGACGGGAGAATTAGATTCTTAATGTTTGGTAAATGACTTGCTTGATTCGGATATCACAGAGAGGGGAAAACATGATCCAGGGTCTGTGAGACAGACTTGTGGCACAAGAACGTTGTATGTTCCACCGGGACGTGGAGGTACTGGAAAATATCTATATGGAAGAATGAATCTCAGGAAACAGTTGAAATAGTAGTCATTATTGCCGACCAGCAGTTAAAACATGTTCTTAAATAATATATTATCTGTTCTGGATTTTGATAGTATCTGTTGCCATGTAAACACAAATTCGTGTGATGTGTCATAAAATAGTAAAGGGGATCCCCTGTCTAGAAATGAGTGTTTGATGTGGAAATATATAAAAATGATATTGTAGATTTTAGATTTTTGTGTAAGATCAACTGAACAAGTGTTATGTTGGTTTAACGTGAGGTAAGTTTGTAATTTGTGAACTGTCAAATTTTAGACACTGAAGATATGTAAACAGAGCATTAATTCACCACCACACATGCAGGTGATTTAGCCTGTATCAAGCAGTGACTTAAGCTAATGTGAACGAAGACGGAAAGGGTGCCGTTGTACAAAGCGACCTTAGGGCTAAGATGATCGTAACTCCCATACCTTAACTCTGACTTACGACAGCTGTAGCACTAAGGCTCGTTCGTACAACGACACCCTGTAGGGAGGTATAATGTGTGAGTCGTGAACAGCTGGGTACACAAACACAGACGTTAACGCAGCGACAGCATTTACTAAAGTCAACAAGGGTTACGTGAGTGAGTGAATAGGGTTTAATCATTCCAGCAAAATCGCATAATATGTGCGGGGCGCGGGCTGAATTTTTAGCCCGATATCCTAAGAGGTGCTGATTTTTATTATCCACGTTTACCATTAGTTTCAGTGGTCAGAGGGTGAGGAAGTATGTATTTACGCCGCTTTGAGAAATAATCAGCATTATCATAGCGGTGGACACCAAGATGTGTATCACACATTGTACCCATGTGGGAATGGAACCGGGAAATCCTCAGCATGAAGAGCGAACACTTAATCACTAGCCCACCTCAAGGGGTATTGATAGTGGTGGTCCGATTAATTGAAATAATCGAAGATTGGTCGCAGTGACTAAACGACCAAGCAATCGATCATGTTTTTTCATAATAGAACACAAACAATTCTGGAACACTTGTTTTCATTAACAATATTTTTCACAAGGTTGGTTTTGTCTGTTACATTTCATAAGCATTACAAGCTCGTTCCAAGTCATGATTAAATTTATCTTAAAGACACCAAGAAAGTTTTGTTCCTAACATACTAGTCATCCTTTAAAGATGTGAAATTTAGCCAAAACACCCCAAATTAACTACATGTTTTTTTCCTTATTTTTGTGCATTAACAAATTTCATAAGTGACGCTAACCAATTATTTTCGATGATTGATCGGTGGTAATGAACCAATCATCAATTATGAGATTTTAACCAATTCCCAACACTAGTATTGAACCCCTGTGTGGGAGAGACTGTAAGTATGTATTTCGGACAAGGAACCTAAGTACTCATTTCAACATCCTTACAAGTATGAACACTATTTTCATTACGTTTTGCAATATTTAGTTGTGTTTAGATTCTAGCGAAACATACATTTGCGCTTTGTTTGTGGGGATTCTTTTACCGGGCGGTAAACAGATACAAATACTGATTCTGTTCAGCTACCGGGATTGGTGACCTGTTGAAAGTTCTTACGCAAGAAGTAAGACTTCTAATCCGTCTTATCTCGTGACCCGTGCCTCAAACAGGAAGTGTGCTTCAACCACCTCACAACCTTGTCACATGTAAGGCCGTCAAGTGATTAACTGTCTGTGCCTGGTCGTATGTAAGGCCGTCAAGTGATTAACTGTCTGTGCCTGGTCGTATGCTCAGACATGCCGAGATTGTAATTTTGTGTACAGTCATGTCCTTCATGTTAGGTCAGACAAAGTAGACTTTGTATTAGACAAAGTAAACTAGTGTTCAAAAGAAACTACACACCGCAAAATATTACATAAAATTCACAAAAATAGAAATGAAGTGATAAAACCATAAAGAGACATGTCAGACACTTACAGACCAAACGGCGAAACAAGTTAACGAATCGCCTAAACGTCGCAAAAAATCCAAAACGACTTTTTCTGATGTATCACGAAATGCACGTGCATATTGACGGTAGAAAACAGCCTACTCGACATGTGAGCAAGGCAGAAGTGAAAAGAACACACACAAAAATAGGCAAATCGAAAGATAGAGAGAGCTGTCAGAATGGCCGAACAAGGAGCTAACCACACCGTCATTGCCAGAACCTTCGGCTGCACACGAACAACTGTCATCAAACTGATGCAACGACTAAGACAAACAGGCAATTCGTCAGACCGGCCTAGGAGTGGTTGACCACATCCGGACAATTCATCTGAGAAATCGTTTTGTAACGGGACGTCAACGGCAGCGACGGCACCAGGACACCGTATCAGTCGACGTGCAGTGTACCGCCGACTAAGAGAACGTCGTATTCGAGCACGTTGACCCTATTGTGGAGTGCATGTGACTCTTCAAAACCGACGTCGTCGATTGACATGGGCCAGATGAGTTCGACGTTGACAGATGCGTGACTGGCGACATTCAAGATTAAAAAATATTGTTTTTGAGATGACCCCCGACTCGAAATGCTTCACAGTACAATACATCATGACAAGGCCGGACACTTTGATGCACCCTACCCGCCTGCTTTGCCGATCGCTACGCTACCATCGCATGCAACCGATTAAAACGTAATGTAAACATAATTATGGATGATTGGCCTATCGAGCACCACCCATGACACCTACCAATTCTTTATTGTTATTTCTGCAAGTCGATTGAAACCCGATTTGACTCTTAACTAAACGATCTTGACACAAATGGATGACGATATACATTTGTATCTGCACAAAACGGGGGTGGGGGTGGGTGGGGGGTGGTCTTCAGCAAACCTATACTTGTTGTGAGGGGCGACGAACAGGATCGGGGGTTGAGGATCGCTGACTTGGTTGACACATGTCATCGTATCCCAATTGCGAAGATCGATGCTCATTGTGTCAATCACTGGATTTTCTGGTCAAGATTATTTACAGACGACCGTCGTATAGCTGGAATATTGCTGAGTGCGGAGTTAAACAAACAACAACACTGGCAACTTAAAGAACCGGTCTGACAGCAGTCTGGTTCCCAGGGTCTGCTGCGCAGCAGGTTGCGGGGACCGAACATATGATGCACCGATAGATCACTGATGCCTCCAAGGGAACTGATTTGCACATTTTACTGTGTATAACTTGTTGTAACGCTTGTTGTTCCATTGTTCATTTGCTTCTTTATAGGATATGCGAGATGGAAATGTAGAGAGAGGTAGAGTTTTGCCTAATTTCCTGAAACATGTACATGAACAGATTACAAGGAGACAACATTCTTTACACTCCAGGGCCTAGATTTTCGAAGCTCTCTTAGCGCTAAGATAGTCGTAAGTGCCATTCATTAACACTAACTTACGACTATCTTAGCGCTAAGAGAGCTTCGAAAATCTAGGCCCAGGATGTGTATGTGTGCAATTTGCAATCTACATCTAGAGTACTTTAATTATGTCTACGGTGTCTTACAAAAAATCGTATTTCTTGAAACACGATAACAGTTTTATTAGTTAAGTGCGAGCGGAACCTAGTGATGTAACACGACTCGTCTTTGGTATCATCTCATGTATCGCATTTGAATGCTTTATCTTATTACGTGACTGACATTTCGAAAGTATCAGTCCGACTGCTGGATATAGTAAATATCAATTACATTTTTATCTACATAAACCGACAACGTAATTCAATCAGTCGTTGTCTGCGGTGCCACGCGGGGCAGTGCCATGGGTTAAACGTCACATAGTATCTCAAGTCTAGATGAAGGGACAATGAAGTCATTCAATCAGACGTTGCCTAAAGTTTCTATAAGGAGCAAGCATTCGAGTAAATGAATGAGTATAGTTTACACCGCTTTTTGCAATATTCCGAAAGGGGACACCAGGAAATGGGCTTCGCACATTGTACCC